TTTACCCACATCCGTCGTAATATGGTAACTCTTTCTTATTTGACACTACACCAGGTCGTCGGTGCAGCGACCTTTGCACATTTTTCGTTGTATTCGGACCACAACGCGATGATTCCAGGGGACACCCATCATTTACACAATGATAAAAAAAATTCACGTCATGATTTTTTGACAAATTCTACATTGGTTGTCTACATAACACAACCCTTCACTTTTCACATCTGTGGCTTAGGACATGTCAATGACGTCATATTTATATTCATATAATATATTATTTTTAAGCAATTTAAACATGCAAATCATAGCAACGTAAAACATGTTTTAAAATTTTATACTTGAACTAAATTAAATTTAATATTAAAAAAATAAAATTTAGGATGAACAGTAAATTCTACAAATGAATAGGGATTGACCACTTCACTTATGGTATTTTGGTCTTTTATTCGTTCTCCCTTTGGACAAACGATTGAAACGAATTTGAATTTATCCAGTTCTTTTGTTTTCTAAAGAACTGGCCTAAATGTTTCGTGAAGTTTCTTACTCTTTTCTTTGTAAATAAAAGTATAAGGGTTACTGCTTAGTTTTTTATAAATAGAAGTCTAAGGGTTATTGCTTAGTTCTTTCTAATATGGAATGGATTATGATTGATTGAGTTTGGAACCAGTACTACTTGATAGAAAGTAGCGATAATGACCTGTGTTGCTTTCCCCCAATCCAAGTTTGAGCTATCATGTGTGAGTAGCGGTGTTAGTCGTAATAGCAGCGCTAGTCTAATGTGACCTAAAGGTCAAACTAAGGGAACTTCCATAAGCGATTTGACTCGTTACTTGGAAGTGTCTCGTCATAGTGCCAATTGTAGTAGTGCTAGTTGTCTGTCCAATTAGGGTCCCATTATCCGTCAATTCATATCTATCAAATAGAGCTGTGAAAGACTAATGGTTTGGGATAAGCCTGGAAGAAAGGTAATGATGAGCTAGAGCTGGAGAGTTAGTGCTTTTCCCTTTGGTGAGTGTTTTGTTTTTTACTTAACCTATGAAATTGATTATGAGATTTGCAAATATAAAATCATAAAATAATTATTTTGAAAATAAAAGCAATGTGATCTATTATCGAACATATTATAACAAGTTTTATATTGTTTAAATGATTTCAAAAATAATTTTTATTATGTTTTAATAAATATTTTTAGTTAAAATAAATTATAGTTCTGGTTTTATTTTTTATCAATATAATCAACGAAATTATAAACATTGTGTGCTCCAAGCTTCATAGAGTCTACCATATGATCCTGAAATTTCTTCATAAGAAAATGTCAGATCCACCAATCATGTGTTTGCTATCATCAAAATTATAGAGTCAACAATTTTTCCCTTTTTAATGATTGAAAACTTGTGTTGGCTAAATTAAAATAGGGTGCAAAGTGATTATAATTATATCCCCACCCTTAATATATGCATATTAAAGACATCAAATAATATAAAATCCTAACATATATTTTCTTCCGCATTTGACAACATGAAAAAGTTTTGAATAAGCAAAATAATATATTGAAAGTCATTCAATCATAAGCTAGGATCTAACACTTCTAATTTTCTCCTAAGTTCACAAAAATAATTTTCATCTAAAGGTTTAGTAAAAATATCAGCTAATTGTAATTCATTTGGAACAGATTCAATATCAAGATTACCTTTAACAACATGATCTCTAATAGAGTGATGTCTAATCTCAATGCTTTTATTGTGTGAGTGTTAAATTAGATTTTTAGACTAATAGCGCTAGTATTATCACATTTAATTGAAATGTGTTCTAGTTTAAGTCAATAATATTCAAGTTGTTGTTTTAACTAAAAGAACTTAAGCAACACCATTCTGTTGAGGAGTGTTCCGGACTGTCTTATGCCTTGTGATGTCATTCCTCCTGCACAGCTCCTCAAACTGCTTCGAACAGTACTGTAAGTCATTGTCAGTTCTCAATTGCTTCAGCTTGGTTTCCATCTTATTTTCTGTGACAGTTAGCCAGTCCCTAAACCTCTGAAAGACTTCATCCTTTGTTTTAAGGATGAAAACCCATACCTTCCTAGTATAGTCATCTATGATGGACATGAAGTATCTCCCTCCTCCATGAGTCTGAGTTCTGGCTGGCCCCCATAGATCGCTGTGAACATAGTTAAGGGGTTTCTTTGATGAGTGAGTTCCGGTAGAGAACTTCACCCTGGCGGCCTTCCCCAAAACGCATTGTTCACAGAATTCCAGTTTGCTGACTCGATCTCCACATAACAGACTCTGCTTGGACAGTTCTTGTAAGCCTCTTTCACTTACATGCCCCAGTCTCATGTGTCATAGTCTGGTCCTGTCAGGTTCTGATTGAACTGCATTTGAGAAGTTGCCGATCACGGTTCTTCCAACTAGTGAGTATAGTCCATTCTTTCTAACAGCGTACCTAGAGAGATCAGATTTCTTTTGAGTTCCGGGACATACCTGACGTGTTGCAGTATCCTTTCAGCTCCATCGAACATCTTGATTCTGATTGTCCCGCAGTCGACTACCCTGCAAGCTTTATTATCACCAAGTAGAACAGACTCGCCGTTCTCCAGCTGCAGTGACTCGAACCAGTATTTGTGGAGACACATGTGGAAGGATCACCCTGAGTCAAGGATCTACTCTCTGCTAAATTCAGATTCTGTGATCGTCAGAGCTTCAGCTGAATCATAGTCATCTGAGGTTACGCTTGCCTCTCCAGAATCTCTGGGCTTCTCTTGAAAACTTTTTTTTCTATACGGACAGTTCCTTTTAAAGTGACCTTTCTTGTGGCAGTGGTAACACTTGTTAGATCTCTTAGAAGACTGACTTCTGGACTTTGATCTGCTCTGATCACTTTTGAAGTCTTTCTTGCTCGATCTTCCTCTAACTGTCAGACTATCTCCACTGGTTTCCTCTTTCATGTCGTGCTTCTTTTGGAGTTCTTTAGCTCTAATAAGAGATTGAACCTCCTCCAAAGTAATAGTCTGCACCCTTCCATAGAGCATCGCATCCTTGAAATGCTCGTAGCTCTTGGGAATAGAGTTTAGCAACAGTAGTGCCTTGTCCTCATCGTCCATCTTGACGTCAATGTTCTCGAGGTCGTCGATGATCTTGTTGAACTCGTCGATCTGCTCTGAGACGGATTTGTCTTCATGCATTTTGAAGGAGTATAGGCGCTGCTTCAGAAAGAGACAATTAGCCAAAGACTTTGTCAGGTAGAGTACCTCGAGTTTGGCCCAAAGCGCTTGAGCCGTTGTCTCCCTCGACACCTCCCTCAGAACTTT